CTCACTCACTCTCTCTCTCTCTCTCTCTCTCTCTGTAGAGGTGTTCGACGAAATGTCTGAGAGCAAAAAGACTGATGATGAATTGGATTTGAAGAATAAAATAGAATAGAATAAAATGATGTATATGGGTAGAATACAAAAGGCTAGGTGGGTCTCTTTCTCTCCTGTGCGAGGTTAACTTGCTCCACCGCCACCATGCCATTGCCATCGCCGCCACTATCTCAATATAAAAATTAAAATATATAATTTAAAAAGAGGAATTTTTTTTAAGGTCCCTGGTATTAAGATTTTACAGCATAAAGGACACTCAATATTTTCATAATGTCTAAGGTCCCTCAAGTTGATCCAGAGAAAATTGGTCCAGAGAAATTTCTCTCCAGAGAAATTTTGAATTTCTCTGACTTCGGAATTTCTTTGACTTTGGAATGTGTTTTAACGAAATTTCTCTGACTTTGGAATTTATCAAATGTGTTTTCATAATGTGTTTTAACCAAATTTCTCTGACTTCTGAATTTATCTCCGTAGAAATTTTGAATTTCTCTGGAACTGATATTGATGTTTTATAGCAGGGTGGGAAAATACAAAGGTTGAATGCTTGTATGATGATGGAGAGAATCAAGTAAAACAAGGACAAAGCATTGCAGATTCGTCCACCAAATTTCTCTAGACTTCGGAATTTCTCTGGATAATCTAAGCACAATGGGAGCTGTTTGCTTGGCTGGGACGACTATGACGAAAAATCCAAAGTTCCAAGAAAAGAATTCGGGATTTTCTGGGAAACTCAAGTCCATGAGGAGCTTTAGTAAGCATACGGATGATTCTTATTCGTATTCAAATGTTGACGGTTTCGAGAACACTTCACAGAATTTTGAATCCGGCGTGCTTCGCTTGTCCATTTCTCATGAACTCAAGACTTCTACACCTGCTAGGACGTGCTTTTGTGAAACATAATTGTTCGAGAAAATGGAAGATAAGAAAGATGGTGCCGTGGTGTGGGTTGCTCGTCGGAGAGGCATTTCAACCTGTCAGAATTCTGTTTTTAGATCTGGAGTTGAGGAAGATATTTCAAGGTATAGTAATGACTTTTCAACTGAGCAAGTCTTGAACAAGAAATTCTGCTTTGATCAATCAGAGACTCCAGCCTTTGTTCTGTGGAGAGAATGCAAACTCGTGTCATTGTGACAACTTAACTTTGCTGGGACTTCTAGAGTAGGACGAAGGGCAAGCAAGTGGAACTGTATGATAGTGTTGTACAGAGCAGCAACGGCTGGAGGAAACCCAAAGCAGAGCTGCTTGATGAAGAAGAAGCTGAGTCTCTTGATATAGAGAGAGAGTAGGCTCAGATTTTCTTCAACAATAAATTATTCGGTGGATTGACTTGAGAGAGTTAATTTTCTCTGGGATATATTGGTGTGGAAGTTGAGGGACCTTAGACATCATAATATAATATTGTGGATCTTTTTCATTACTAAAATTGGGAGAGGGACCTTAGACCAATTTTCCCATTTAAAAATAATAAAATTTAAATTTAATTTTATACATATCAAATAATTTATTTTTAGTTAGTATTTAAATTTTTATCAAATAATTTTTTAATTTAAAAAATTCAATATTTAATCTTTGATCTTCAGTTTTTAATTTTATCAAATACACTACACACATTTGACTTAATGGCCTAAGGTCTCACTATTGGAATTTGGCAACTTGAAACCAAAAAAAGAAAAAAAGAAAAATTCCTAATCAAAACTTAATATAAAATTTATTAAAATGCATAAAAACCAAAAAAAAAAAAAGAAAAAGAAAAAGAAAAACAAAATTGAGTGTTAACATTTTCTTTTTCATTCTTTAATTAAGAAAGGTATTATCTCAATCCACTAGGTCTCTTCCATATTTATCTAGAGGCCTAAAAAACATTCATTGTCCAAAGGTCTTATACTAAAATTTGACAAAAATCTCCCAAATAAAAATAGAACTATTCAAATGGTTATAAATTCTAAGCATTATAGGGAGTACTTCCATATAAGTGGTTGCTAGAATATTAAATAATTTATTATCTCATGTTTTAGATAGTAAAGGCCTTCGATAATAAAGACATGAATGAATATTCATTGTAAAAGGCCAATAAAAAGTAAAATTCCACTATCCGTCAACTTAACTTAACACTTAAAAATAAAAATAAAACTCTATGCATGAAAGAGGATAATATATTAAATTTTACAACCCCGCTGCATACCCCCAGTGGGGGTCGCGCCCCCAGTGACGTGGCGCGCCCCCACTGGCTGAAAACTTAAAAAAAAAAAAAAAAAAAAAAAAACAATTTTTTTTTGACCAATCCGGGGCCGACACCTCACTGGGGTCGACCCCCAGTGGGGTATGAAGCATAAGTCTAAATTTTAACTAAATAATAGGACAATAATAAATTTACATTAAAAAGTGTAATCTATACAACAAAAAAAAAAAATTAAAAATGTTATTTGAATGCAATAAAGGGCCTTCTCTATGCACAAAATTTATAGCGATCCCGGGTTTACCCTTGTTTGTACAGTGATCCGGACATGTGTCCGTGGATGTTGATAGTTTGATTATTATCGTGTTACATTCCTTTTTCTCATATTTGAGTTATAGGATGTGTTAGGCAGGTTTGTTACAGGTTGGTTGTGTTCGGAGCCTAGTGTTGCTGCCCAGAATTTTGGACCTTCGCTTCGAGCGAGAGTTGGTCGCTCGAGCGAGAGTGGGGTTCGTGTCTGGTGGGTCGAGCCAAAGTGGCTCGCTCGAGCGAGCGGTTCACCTGGTTCTGGACCTGAGAGTTGCATTCTTGGCTCGAGCGAGCTTCCTTCGCTCGAGCGGTCTGGGTTTTTCTTCGCTCGATCCGAGAACTTCTTGGCTCGCGCGAGAGTTTTCTATGTCTGGTCGCTCGAGCGACGAAGGCTTCGCTCGAGCGAGCGTGTTTTTATATCAGCGGACAGCAGCGTCTTAACATCACTTTTTCACTTTCTTTTTGATTCCAAAACCCTTAATCCGACACTTCTCTCTCTCTAACTTGCCTCTCTCTAAGATTTGATCTCCCTAGAGTGTGATCTAGCCTAGGGCCTTTGTTAAAAAGATAGAGGGTTTGAGAGCTTTGATTTAATCTGAAAAAAGTTTGGATTTGGAGCACGTTGATCTTCGAGTCTTCAATCTCCTTTTTGGCTAAAACTTCAGGTAGGGATATCCTACTCCTCTCTATGGGTTTGTCTTTAAAATTTTTGGTATTTTGAGATGTTGGGCTTGGTTTTGGTAATTTTGTGAAAGTTTGGGGCTTTTGTGTATTTTACAAAAGTTGGGTTTTATTTCATAATAAACCTAGATGCATGTTTGCATAAAGAAATGGAATGATTGTTGATTCATGATGAAAAGGGACCTAAGGTTGAAATGTTAATTATGGGAATTGACCTAATTACATTGTTTAATTAATTGGGATAATTAATTGAGAAGAGTGAGGAATGAAATGTTGATTGTAATCCATTGTGCATTTATTTTCTGTTTAGAAATAACTTGTTTTGGGCTATCGGTGGAGGATAGTCGTGATTGTTGTAGACAATGCATGACGATTAGGCAAACTGAAACTAATCAATGAAGTGTGTCATGCGAACTTGACGGTTGATAGAATACATTAATTGTATGTATTGGGTAATTGTATATAGAACCAATGTGTTTGTATACGTTATGTGTAGAGGAGGAGATAGGGGATGTACTCCGCGGTTTAGGGGAATAGGGATGTACCTCTAAACGGTTAGTGTTGGGAGAAGATAGGGGATGAACTCCGTAGATACAGCTCATATGCTTGTCTAGAAGTGAAGATAGAGCTTACATGCTTATCTTTGTGATGTGTGGATATAGCTCATATGCTTATCTGTGGATATTGGTGATTATACATATCTGTTGTAGAATGTGGATATAGCTTATTTGCTTATTGAGAATGTAGATATTGTTGTTATACTTCTTTTGAGAATGTGGTTAGTGCTTACATGCTATCCGTTGAAAAATGGAAATGAAAGGAAACTTGACTCATAAGTCGTATGACATAAACATGTGATTTATGTGATTGTATCAGTGTTGGCCATCTATCAATTGCTAATATTTTAGTCAATGTTCATGGTTGGTTTAGTGTATTTCTACTCTGGGTCTGTGGCTCACCCTATATGGGAATATCATTTTCAGGTACTGGTAGCATGCCACCTCCAAGGACATAGCTTGGGAGGCTAGAGGCGGACATAGTGTAGTTGTTTTACTTTTGATGTATTACATGTAACTTCAAGCCAAGGGCTTAATGTGTAAACGAGTTAGTACTCTTTTGTTGTAACCAAGTGTTAACTTGGAAAGCTGTAAGCCCGTAGGGCATTTTGTTTTGATGTTAACATGTAATACTTATGTAATGAGACTCTAATGAATAAAAGAATGTGGCTAGTTCATATGTCAATGCATGTCTTATTTGATGGGTTTAATGTTATTATTTTGAGGGCGTTACAAAATTCATATACAAAAATATACCAAAAAAATAATATGTGTTTAAGATTCAACTCTAATATAGTGAAGTCCACAATTTGAATGAATCTCTACCGTATATTAAAATTTGTAAGCATTTGTAAGTGTATAAATATTGTGTATGGCGTATTGCTCTAATTTAATTTTAAATTATTAGAGATATGTAATTATGTACAAACTAAATTATCAACTATGAGGAGGAGTTGAAAATTTGATTTGTAGTTTATTCAAAAATACAATGTATCATGAATTTTCATCTTGAAATTTTTTTTGAAACTGAAATATATGATGTAAATTTAAAATTAGTTGGATATGAATCATACCAACACAATGAATATATATAGTCTATTGATTTTTACTAGTTTATTAGTCAAGGACCCAATTTAATTTACTTTTTTGAAAAAAAAAAAACTTTGCCTCATAATGTAAGTATATATGTTTGTATATATGTTAAATGTGGTAAAATAGAGAAGTACCTTAGGTGGCTTTGAAATGATATGGGTTTGCACAAACTGAACAATCCACTAGGTCTCTTCCATATCAACAATGCTAGGTATCATGAAAAGTCTTTCATGAAAATGATCATGAAAGATTTGTGACCTTTGGATTACACTTAGAATAAAACACCACACATTAATCAAGGTAATCTAAGGGTCACAAATATTTCATGATCATTTTCATGAAAAAAATTTCATGATCCTTAACATTTCTCCTTCCCTATTTATGTAAGGAAGGCATATATCAATCCACTAGGTCTCTTCCATATTTATCCAAGGGCCTAAAAAACATTCAATGCCCAAAGGTCCTTGTACTAAAATGTGAAAAAAATCTGAACTATTCAAATGGTTATAAATTTTAAGCATTATAAGGAGTACTACCATACGAGTGGTTGTTAAAATATTAAATAATTTATTATCTTATGGTGAAAGGCAATTTTTTTTTTTTTAGATAGTCAAAGGCCTTCAATAATAAAGGCATAAATGAATATTCATCGTAAAAAGTCAATAAAAAGTAAAATTTCGTTATCATCAACTTAACTTAACACTTAAAAATAAAAATAAAACTCTATGCATGAAAGAGGATAATATATTAATAAAAGACTAATTACCTGATATATTATTCACCCGAAAAACTAATTACCTGATATATATGTTAAATGTGGTAAAATAGAGAAGTACCTTTGAAATGATATGGGTTTGCACAAACTGATTCAAGTCCATCCCCTGTAGCGGTATCACTGATTCAACATCCAATACAACTTCCTTCAGTTTTGGTGTGCTGCCGGAAGTAGTGGCAGCGAAAGTCTTCATTTTGGGGCAGTTTATCACTGCAAGTAGTTCCAAGGATGGCCATTCAAAAGGAAAGTCGTCTCCTCCTGTGCAGAAACCACTTAGGTTTGGAAGATCTTCAAGGTGGAGTTGTTTGAGACTTTTGAACATCATCTTGTAGTCCACTCTCTCTTCTTCTTCTTCTTCTTCTTCTTGTTGCCCTTCGTTTTGCTTCGCAGCAACAATTTCCCCTATTTCTTCACAGTCACTTACCCAAAGCCTTTCAAGTTGATGAAGAGCTTGAGCTATGGAAGGTTGGAAGACGTATTTCAGTTTGCCACATGAATTGACAGCCAAATAACTTAGGTTGCAGAGTTGCACATGTTGACGACTGGAGCAGTTCAATATATGCTTCAATCTAGGCAAGTTGCATAGATATATCTCTCTCAAACTAGCAAGCAGCTTCATGCCTTCTCCTTCAGAACCAAAATCAAATACTTGTTCCAATTTCTCACATTCGAATACCTGAAGCTTCTCCAAATGTTGTAGCCTTTGAAGCAAATTGAATGGAAGAAGAATAGCTGATAGTGAATCACATCCGCTAACTACCAATCTCTTGAGCTTTGGGAAGCACACCCAGCTGGAAGTAATAAGTGCACTTGCTGCACATATCCCTTTGAAACTATCCAAACGATAGAGTTCCAAGTCTTCCAGGTTGAAGAGCAATTTCAGATCACGTGGTTGTGCCTGTGATGAAATCCCCCATTCCTCTGTGTTGATCAAGTATTCCAATTCAGAACAATCTTTAATACTTAGACATGTAGCTCTCTTCAACACCATCTTTAGCCATTTACTCCAATCAACAAAGCGTCCAACCAAATTTCCAAGTTCCAAATGATTTGGGGAATAATTTTCAACGCTATACACCGAACTCGATTTTCCAATAAAAATAATAAAACTTTCCAGCTCAGGAAAAACAAAGTCCTTGGGTATATACGCAATGTCAGGTATGGAAATGGTTAGCATTTTTAGGAGAGGCAAAGATCTTAGTGCAGCAACTACTTCCACTGCAGGGTATCCGATACTCCTCGAATATGTGATGCGAAACAAGTACAACTCCTCCAAATGGGATAAAGGCGATACCATTGCGGCCGGAATCAGAAATTCATGACAACTTTCAGTCATGTCCAACAACCTTAGATTAGTTAACTCCCTTATAGCATTTGGTACCTCAGAAAAGAAGGCATACCTGAGGCTAAGGACTTCAAGCGTCTTTAACTGTCCAAGAAATTTAGTGTCCCCAAACTTAATTCGATCAAGAACTAACGTTCGAAGAAACATTTGGTTATTGAAAGCATAAGGACTACGAATTGGATTGTCAAAATTGTAGCCAAGTTCGCTCAAATCTAAAACACTAAGTTCTTTCATCCTTGAAAAGAATTCATGTGAACATGACCATGCATTTCCATTGCCTTGTAATAGTAATATTTGGAGATTTGGACATTCCAAGACCTCAGGAAGGTTACTAAATTGATTTCTCATCAATGATATACCAGTGTATTGATTCAAACTATCGATCTTGGGCCAATCATTCAAATTGCAACCAGCTCTTACAAAATACTTTTTGGATCCAATAAATATGGCAACATCACGGACAACATCATGCATTTTGAAGCATTCTTGTGTGTCACTAGCTAATAATAAACAGGAAGCTATGAGATTGTTGATCACTGACTTTGCTCTGCCCCTAGCTTCTTGCACTGTATCAACATTTTTGAATACTGTCAACCCCATCCCATATCGTACCAAGTCTTCTATTAAGATGTAATGATCCTCAGGAAATAGAGAACAAAGCAAGAAGCAAGCCTTGGCTTCCTCTTCTTCCAGGTAATCATAGCTCAACCTAAGACATTTGTACACTCGTTTGTCAACACCTTCAATATATGTTGGCATTGATTTTCTCAATTCTCGAGCTGCTTCGTTCCATAAATCAGGTTTATCTTTATTACGTTTCATTGCTCTTCCAACTGTAACAAGTGCTATAGGCAAACCTCCACATTCTTTACAAACCTTATTAGCGATAGCATTCACCGCGTTAGAGTCAACGACATTGCCAGCATTCTTTTTGAACAAGTCCCATGAATCTTTTTCAGATAAAACACCAAGATGAACAATCTTTGTCCTCGGCGTTTCCTTTCCCATGGAATCGCATACTTGCTCACGCCGTGTTGTGATTATGATTTTGCAACCCTGGTGATCATTGCCAAATGGAATGCCCACGGCCGCCAAATCAAGTTCAGCCCAAACATCATCCAATATAACAAGGATCTTCTTCACATCCCTGAGTCTTGCATACAACATGCTTGCTCTTTGAATTTCACTTTGTTGATCAGTTAATCTGGTGAAACCCAACATGCTAGCTATTTGACCTTGAATGTTTTTAATGTCTGAGTTCTGAGACACTACAGCCATCACAACTTCATCAAAAAGCTTATCAGATTTTGCTTTTTTGCCAATTTCTTTTACCAAAGTTGTCTTTCCAACGCCCCCAATACCATGTATTCCAATGAAGTTGATCTTGTCGTCAATTAGTGCCTCCATTACATTCGTCATTGTCAAATTTGTAGAAGCATAAGGCACGAGCTGTTCAGAGGGTATGGACTCTATCCCCAAGGAAGGTGCAGGTTTGGATATGTTGTTATTGAATGTGCCTTCTTTTCCCAGCTCTTTAGCCTCCTCTGCTTTATTTTTTGCTTCCTTACCTAGCCGGCGTCTTGTGACCAAATCAGGAAACCACCCATTGAAACATTTCAGATTCATATTGGTTCCACCCTCTAGAAACTCTTTAGCCTTAAGAATGAACCCATTAACTTTGTCAATCCAATTCTTGACACTTTCTAGAATTTCTTCTCTGTTCCTTTTTGCTGCATCGATGGAGTCGAGCACATCTTTTCTCTGAGCCTCTAAATTTTGAACTTGCTCTTGTAGATCTTCAGTGTATTTCACTCGATACAAGACATAATCGAATTGACGCCCAACTGGCTCCACCAATAATTCAACAACTTTTCCTCCAATGGAAATCAGAGAATCACAAACAGCCATAGCCATGTCTGATAACAAACAAAGCAATACTTCAAATAAATAAATAAATAATATTGTACTATTGGCAACAGTACCTATATGCATGCTTGCTGATAAAATAAATAAACAAATGGGAAGTTGCGAGCCAGTCCTTTATTTATCAAAAGAAGTCCTACTCTAATTTTCTCTATAAAAATATATATAATTTAACTATTTATACTTTGCACATCATATTTCAATATGAACTAATTCAAATAATTTAAAATTAAATCAAAACTCACAAATAAAAGCTCAAATAATTTTGGTTATGACTTGGTTGTCACTCATTGTAATGTTAGTTGTGACTATTGTTTTAGTTATGACCAAAAAGGTCTTTGGTTATTCCTTAAGTAGTATTTGATTATAACTTGCCGAGTTTTTTTTAGTTATGACTATAACACAAATATTATAACTTGTATATGGTACACGCCAAAAAAAAATGTGTATTGTAGAATAACCCTACTTTTTATAATAAATTCATAAGTAAATACATATTGATATACACAAACATAATTCAAATGAAATTTATGAAGTATGATTTTCAAAATATATACTTATATTTTATAATGTGTATTGCATGGGTTAACTACTACTAACCTATCACAAACTTTATGGGTGGGACAATTTTGACCCATCTCGACAAACGAGACTTACTCTCACCACATTATTCTTTTTTTAAAATAGAAAGTGGAGACAAAAGAGAATTTGGAAATGAAAAATACTATATACTTCAAATAATTTATTAAATTTTTTATTAAACTTTTTATGTAAGTGTAAGACTTACACAAATTCATGTGTATGGGTTTCACACTCATATGAGAAATTTAGTAGATTATTTGAGATTCCTAATCTAACACTTTTCAAATTTGAAAAGGAATAAAAGAAGAGATCAGGCTTGAGGAGAGAGAAGAACACAAAGGAGAGAGAGAGAGAAGGGACAGCAAGGATGAGGAGAGGAGAGAGAGAGAATTCTTTCTCATTGACCGATGCATACACCAACTATATAACATAATCAAATATCGAACAACTTGGGCCTATTTTGAAAATATAATTAAAAGTTATCTTCTAATTTTTAATCTATTTTAGATCATATTATTTATTTTTATTTTTTTTATATGTTTTTACAAAAAATTAAAAAATTAACTTTTAATCAACTTTCCAAAATAACTCTTAATTACACCACCCCCATTATCTCTCTTCTCTTTCATTCTCACTTGCCAATATTTCAAATTCTGTAGTGAAACTTAAACCACTTTTTTTAACAAAACCTAATTTAAATTCTGAATTCAAATTTATCAAAAGAAAAAAAAAATTCAAACCACCATTTTTTAACAGAACCAATTTTTTTTTAATAACGTTACGTTTCCCAATAAATATAAACATTTTTAATGATATTAGGTTTCTGAATAACCAAAGCTACTTGATTTTTTATATTTTTTTAATAAGCATTTCCAAATAGTATGCAATGAACAATTATTTAAATAGATTAATTCGTACCCAATCCAATCTTATATAAAAATAAATTATCAATTTAATATAAAAGAAACACCTTTTTTAATTAAAATATATGAAAATAAATTTATATTATAAAATTTTGAGATATTATACAATATATTTTATATTAATTTATGAGGTGGGATAGAGTGAGAATACTTAGGAAAGGAAAGCAGACCCACGTGGGTTGCCCCCCACTCCCTTTGCCTACTTTTTCAATTCTTCTTCTACTTCTTTTTGCTTTTGTTCTTTTTAGAGTAGAGAGCTTTGTCTCTTTTTTTCCTCTACGCCTCTCTCTTCCTCTTTGAACTCCATTGTTGCTCAAGTTTGAGCTTCGAATGGGAGTCATTACTTAGTTAATGAAAATTCATTAATCCAAAACATTCATTAAAACATATTAAAAATCACAAACCCAAACCCAAATCTTAGAAACACAAATCCAACCGCATACCTAATCAACAGAAATAAAAAATACACAAACCCACAATAAAACCTTTCACAAATCAAAACACATTTAAAAATGAAACCCATTTCAAAACCATAAAACACTATAAAAAATTAAGGTTTTAAAGACCAAAATTTAGGAACAAAATTATTTTTTAGGGACCAAATAATTTTGTTGCAAAAAATATCGTTATTATATTTTTAGCAACAAAAATTGGACATTAGTGATGAATTATTATCCTTTTGGGACCAAATTTTTTGTCTCAAAAAACAAATCATTTTGAGACCAAATTATTTTGTCCCTAAAAGTCTACTTATTAGTGACATTTTCAAAATTTTGTCGCTAAAAGCCTTATTTTTTACTTTTCGAAACGACCTTTTAGTGACTATCCTCATGACGATGGAAATTGGTTCCTAAATGTCTTTTGCAATAAAATTTTCACTTTTAAAGACCAAAACACTTGGGCTCTAAAACTCTTATATGTTGTAGTGAAACCCATTTCAGAAACTCATCAAACTCTCGACGGTGGAGGACAGAGGCACTGCTGCGGGTTAAGATCGAAGAGAAGATCTGAGAACTGAGAGAGAGAAGAGATGAAGAGTTGCTATTGGTGGAGATCGCGGGGTGGAAGCGTCGTGGCAGTGGAGAGTTGATGTAGGTGGTAGAGATGTTGATTCCGGCGGCGGCAGAAGGGAGAGAAGGAGAGGACATAAAGAGGAAGAAAGGGTTTTGTCGACAGTGTGCTCCTGGCTGAGAGCGACGGTGCCAAGAGGAGAGGTGGTGAGCGGCGGTGCCGAGAGGAGAGGTAGAGGACAGAGTGATGAGAGGTAGGGGAGAGAGAGAGAGAGTAATGAAATGATAAATGGTGCGAGAAAAGAGGAGGGATAGGCAAGAAACATATTGTGGGTCAAAAAAATTTGACCATTAACTTTGTATCTAGGACAAAAATATACATAAATTCAAAAAAATTAAGTCATATTATAGATAGATATATATATATATATATACTCTATGATGGTATGGTCACTCAATCTTCGTAAAGACAATCAAATTCTATGGACAATTGGTCTATTTTGGCAAGTTAGTTAAAGGTCAATTTTTTTATTTTTTGGCTTTTTTAGATCATATCACCTCTCTACTTTTTAACATGTTATTTTTTAAAAAAAGTTAAAAAATCAAAAAGTCAATTTTTAACTAACTTACCAAAACAACTAAAGTGATTTTGGTCAATTATTTACAAATTAATAAAGAATCATAATTGCAAAAGCATGGAATCCGTGGTTGCAATTACTAGAATGTTTTTTTTCTCTCTTCCACTATTTGCAACTATTGGCCAACCCTTCCTTACCCCTCTCTAGTTGTTAATCACCCTTTCACCTACCCCCAACACCTCTATCACCACCCTCTACACCTCTCTACCCTCAACTCCTTTGCCCACCTATAGTGTCCCGGATCTTAAACCCGACTTGTTTATATTAATTGGTACCCGTTACCTTATACTTGTATTATATTTTCAAACTTTTAGAGTTGATGGGTTTGCATTTGACCTTTTTGTTATTATAATATGGACCTCTTTCTTGATGTTTGGAGTCTTGATTTATAAGTTAACATGATGGTTGGACAAGATTGGATAAAAAAACCCCAAATTCAAATATTTATTTTTTAGTAAGTTTCACTCTTTTATGCTTTTCTATCTCCACACTTTGAATCTTGATATGAGTCTAGAACTATTAGAAAGCTTACTTTCAGGACTTCAATTTAAAAGCAAAATTGACCGAATTCTAACTCCGAAAGATGGAGCTATGCTTGTTTGAAATTCACCATGTAAAAGTTGTTTAGGTCAATCCACACGCGCGAAATAAATGTTCCACACGAGCAAATTATGAAAAATAGCATTTTTTGTTGGACAAATCCGTATTTACTGCCAGAAGCTCCGAACGAGCGGACATGGGCTACAGACCTCGATTTTTGAACCTTTTCCCCTCAAAATCTAAGGTAGCATTTAGTTTGTGTTTAGAATTATGATTTGAGTATGGAGTTATATTTTGAGTTTGTGAGTTTTGGAAATATAATTTGAAAAAAGAAAATTTGTTTGGTTATGAGTTTTGAAAAGAATTTTGAATTGAGTGTTGAATTTTTGAAATGAGTGTTGAGTTTGTGAAAAGTTATTTAATTATGAGTTTTAAAAAGAGCTTTTAAAACTTAATTCAAAAACTTATAACACATAACCAAATATACAACTCAAAACTCTATTGAAAGTTCTATTCAAAACTCATAACCAAACTCTTTTTAAAATTTAATTCAAAAAAAAAATTATTGAAAAATATATTTTTTTATTTAAAAAATTAAAAAAATTCTGAAAATATTTTATTATTTAAAATATTAAAAAATATATTATTATTTTTTAACAAAAATATTTAGCTAATGCTTTAAAATTACTTTTGATTGTATATTTGGATGGAATTTTTTTTTTAATTGTTTTGTTTAAAAATGTTTTTTTATTTTTAAAAATTTCTGTGGAAAACTAATTTTTATTTACAATTTTTATTGTTAATTTTAAATAAATTTCCAAATAATTTGGCATTTTGGTCTCAAAAAAATATTTTCTATATTTAAAAAATATCAAAAACAAATATAATTTTTGTTTTCCAGATAACAGGTGTCAATTGCTAAATAAAAAAACAAAAAAAAAAAACACTATTCCGGTCAACCGGCCGGACGTTCAGGAGGATGTCCGAGGGGACGATCGGGTAGTCCCAAAAATTCAAAAACTGTCTAGGTGGATGTCTGGGCTGACGACCGAGTAGACCAAAAATTCAAAAACTCTCTGGTTTATCAAACATGTTTTCAAAATGCATTTTGAAATTGATTTGAAATCATGATTTGAAAACTATAATCAAACAAAGGGTTGATTATTAGTGTAGAATCATTGTTTGAGAATCAAACCAAACACAACCTAATATTTTCTTTCTCTTCCCCTTATTTCTTTCAACTCTCTCTCTAAAACTCTTTTATCTTCTCTCTCTCTACAAACCACCGCCAACTAT